GACTGAACAGCAGGCTGCGTGGGGCGACCAGGCCGGCAGGGGGGTTAGTGAGGGACGACCAATGACTGAACAGCAGGCTGCGTGGGGCGACCAGGCTGGCAAGGGGGGCAGTGAGGGGCGACCAAACAACCGAACAGCAGGATGCGTAGGGCAACCAGGCCGGCAAGGAGGGCAGTGAGGGGTGACCAGGCTGGCAGAGAGGGGTAGTGAGGGGTGACCAGGCTGGCAGCGGGGGCAGTTAGGGGCAATCAGGTTGGCAGGCAGAGGAGGTTAAGGGTGGCAGCGGTGCCAGTTAGGGGCGATTAGGCAGGCAGGCAGGTGAACAGTTAGGAGCCAGCGGTCCTGGATTGTAAGAGGGATCCCTGAGAGGGCGCAGGCTGGGCTGAGGGGGAACCCCCCCCCCCCGTGCACAGATTTCATGCACCAGGCCTCTAGTTCATTTATAACAGATCAGTGGAAGCAATGAAGGAGTCATCTGCATCCCTTACAGGACTTGGCACCAGGAGAACATGTAACCCTTTCTTGTCTTTATCTCCTGCTACCTTCTCCTCACCCCTTCAGCAATTGTCAATATAACCAGAATAGCACAGTGATGACAGCACTGGCTTCAGTGTTAGGCAGATTAGGGTTTGAGGCTATTACTCCTAGAACTTTGAGTAATGAACTTTTCTAAGCCTGTTCCTCATCTATAAATGGGGATAATAATGTGACCCAACTCTGAGCTCAATTGCAAGGATTAAATGTTTGTAAAATGACTGCTAGAAGTCTAACACATTATTGTCAGCTCTATTTTTTAAAGCAAAGGTCTTAACACATCACTTAAATATTTTTTTTATTGCCTGACCTCCTAGTTGACAGTGTAAATTCTAATTTTTTTTAATGCCAATATAAAATTGTCATCACTGACTCCAGAGTACAAGCTCTGACTTTTATGTTCACTGGCCATTGTAAACAATTTGCTATTAACTGAGCCATGCATGCCTTTGCAAATTTTCACATGCCTCTTTTATACCAACAATAATCTCTTCATTTTTCTCCATTTGTTAAAATTCTTTGAGATCCATTATTCATGAGGTTTCTTGAATTGTCATTTTTTGAAATGCCATAGCACTTTATGGTATACATCCCACTCCACCATGTATTATAATCATTTGTACATGTGACCCCTCGTTCATAGTAGGGAGGGACCATAAGTATAAATTTTCCCCCCTGTAATGTAGCAGTAACTATGATGTGACTCATAAGATAGGTGCTCAATTAAGTTTTGCTGACTAAATGAATCTTACCAGTCTAATTCTTTAATATGTCATATTTACAAAAGATGAAACAGATAAATATTTGCACAAAGCTATGGTGGACATAATAAGTGTGATGACTAAAAAATACAATAGAATTATTTCCCATCATTTGTTTTATTTTTAAAAAATTTAAAGCATTTAAAGACAGCATTAGAGCATTCTTTTAAGAGAGAAACAGAGGAAGATCTCTCACACACCCAGAAGGTGACAAAAGATAAGGCAAAGAGAAATTTAAAGACTCTGGTCATGAAGACAAGAGGGATGCAGCCACAAGCCAAAGAACACAAGTAGCCACCAGAAGCTGATCCCCCTCCAGGGCCTCTGGGGGAATACAGCCCTGCAGACACCTTGATTTCAGAATTCTGACCTCCAGAGAAAGGAGATTTCCACTGTTTCAAGCCACCTAGTTTGTGGTAATTTATTACCACAGTCACAGAAAACTAATACAAGGGTGATGAATTTGGGCACCACTGGGACCAACCTTTACCTTCATCTACACTTAGGTATAACAAATAAAAAACGAGAATGGAGAAAAATACAGAAGGGTCCAAAACCATGTGACATGTATGTTATGATATATTCAAGTCTTTCTTCCAGGTCATATCAATATTTTAAAAAAAATTTTCAGATGTATCATATACAGAACTCAACCAACTTCTTCATGATACCTAATGTAGGTGTTAATTCTGAAATATTTTGATTAAAGCTAAGACATTTGGCAAGCCATTCTGAAGCAGTTATACATTGCTGACTCAGCCAGTCCATTTCCTTCAATTCTCCTAGCCACTTTAGTCATGCCAAGTAGGCACTAGCCTATAAATTAACGCCACTCTTCCCCCAAAAGACTGAGAGCCTTAAAAACACAACATGTAAAATACAGTTTAAAACTAACTCCACATATATCCTGGTACCTTCCTGAACATCTTCTCTTATATTTAGCTTATTAACCTCTTTAACCAAACTGAATGCATTGCATATCACAAATAGTGGCTATTTGGTAAAAGAATATATAACTAGAAAAGAACATGAAAAGTGAGAAAGCCCTGACTAGTTTGGCTCAGTGGATAGAGCGTCGGCCTGTGGACTGAAGGGTCCCAGGTTCGATTCCGGTCAAGGGCATGTACCTTGGTTGCGGGCACATCCCCAGTAGGGGGTGTGCAGGAGGCAGCTGATCGGTTTCTCTCTCATCGATGTTTCTAACTTCTATCCCTCTCCCTTCCTCTCTGTAAAAAAATCAATAAAATATATATATTTTTTAAAAAGTGAGAAGTACCTGACTACATGCTATATCAGAGTTTGGCAAACTACAGCCTGAGGACCAAATTCAGCCTGCAGTCTATTTTTACAAATATGATGTTACTGGAACACAGTATTCTCAATCGTTTACATACTGCCTATGTTTACATACTGCCTATGTTTGCTTTCTCACTCTGATAGCAGAGTTAAATAGTTGTGACAAAGACATACGTGACCAACAGTGACTAAAGTATTCACTATGTGGCCCTTTGCAGAAAAGTTTGTGGACTCCTGCCTGTACCATGCCATTTAGAAGAGAAGGCAACTCTTACTGAGTGACCACTCGGGCAGTTATACAGTACTAGGTGGTGGTACCAAGGAGATGGCTCAATAACTTAGCCTCTATTCTCAGAAAATTGTAACGCAGCAGGTAAAGCAAGAAATGTATACCCTCGCTAACATTTAAACTTGCTAAGTGGACTATGAGAGAAAAGTAAACAATACTGTAGTAGCAGAGGAACCATTAAGTGGGGGAGGATGGGTGGAGAAGTAATAGTTTATCCATTCGAAGCCTTTAATCAAAAGACAGTCATCTTATGACAGGCAAGTAAGAAAAAAACAAACAGCTGCTAATCCCCCTAACATACACACACACACACACACACACACACACACACACACACACCATCAAACAAAAAACAAAAAGTACAACCAGAAAAAAATAATTCACAATACTGCAGTTTTTCTTTTTTTTAATACTGCAGCTTTTAAAATGTAGTCATCAATATTTCACAGAAATTCTCAATTTATAAGATACCTGTTCATGCAGCTCACCTTGACTTGGAAGATGTTGCTGTCGAACTACATGCTCCTTTATTCAAATTAAATGCCACTAGGAGAGAAAAATTGGTATTCCATATTTCAGGAAAATGATAATAAAAATTATCAGATAAGATGCCACATATATCCACATATAAATTCACGGGCATTTTGTTTTTGTTGTTTTCCATGGGCATTTTGAATAAATGAGAGCTGGGATGCTCCCATCCAGAGGTCATAAATTCCTGTATAACATGCTGGATGGATGCTCACAGGGCTGGGAAAGACCTTCGTGATCGAGCGCTGTAGCAGACAGCCTGCACTGCCTTTCTACTCCACTGCCCCCACACCCCTCACTAACAGAAATTCAATTTTGTTTAGGCGCCCATACCTCTCAAACATGGCTCAAAGGATGCAATGGTCTGAATGTTTGTATCTCCCAAAATTCATACCTGAATTAGCTGAAAACATAATGCCCAAGGCATCAGGATTATAAGGTGGGACCCTTGGGAGGTGATTAGTAAGGTTCTTTTGTTCTAAATAAATCAAAACAATCCCATTCCCTTCCCCGTGACTGTTCTTGAGGTGGACATGTGACCAATGACATCAAAAAGAAGTCCACTGGCGGGAGGAGTATCTGCTCATAAGGAACTCCTGGAGAGATGCTCTGTCTGTCATCCTCGGGACAATGCCGAGTCTGCACATGACGGCTGGAAGTGCCAGCACCCACCTCGTGTCCAGCTGCTGGTAGTTCAGCATACTGAACTACCCTACCTCTGGAACTCTTGGCATGGCAAAATAGTTCCTTATTGTTTAGGCTAATTTGTTATTTGCCAGTTTTGTTTTTATTTGTAGCTGAGGGCATCCCACCCAATTCATCAGCAATTCCTTTTTATTTTATCGATGAGAACAATGCAATCCCGACAGATTGCATCTTGCTTCCAAACATGCCAACTTTTAGCAGAACCAATACAAAAGGATCCACATTAATAAAAGAAAAAGAAGTAAGATTACCTTTCTCTTCATCATTTTCTCTGCTTAATTCTGTAAAAACAGGGGCTTCCTTGGGGAGAAAAAAAAAATTTGAAGGTTGGTTTACAGAGCATTTACTATCAATATTCAATACTCCTGTATTAGTACTTGCTACCTATGTTGCAATGTAGCTCTAAGACACAACTCTAACATGATTAAGATCCTAATTAAGAAATTATATGTATTGTAAATATTCTCCAATTGAGAATTATTTTATAGGATTTTTTTTATCTTTTGTTCTCTGTTGTATACCCCATGCCTAGAAGAGTGCCTGGCACATAGGCAGTACCCAATATTTTTGAAATAAATGCCTTCATCTACTTATTCTAACCCCTGAACCATCACCATGCCTGCCCTCCCTCCCCCATTTACTCGAGTGTTGCCCATTACTTAAGACTTCTCAACCCAGGAATTGTGTCTACCCTCAAATATTTTATGTCCTCCCTAGGCTGGAGCAAGCTCTGGCCCCCTACTCTCCCACAGTTTATCTCCAGCCCTGCATTAATTACAACCAGGAGAAATTATCTGCTTATTTCTTTCTCATTAACTATTGCCTCTCTTGAGAGCTACAAACATTGAGGTTTAGAAGATTATACAATTACTTAAGATTGTGAAGTCAGTAAGTCAGGAATTGATCCAGGTTTGTCTCAACTCCAAAACCTGGGCTTTTACACTCAGCCATGCTCTTTCTCCTCCTAGTTAAGGCACAATACCTACAAAACTCAATTCAATACTTAACAAAATACTTAACAAAACAAGCAATTTTGCTTCTTTGGCTGTCTTTCTATTGCCTCTCCCAATAATATTGTGCCCACCTGTTCTTTCCCTTCCAGACCTCTTCTCACTTGTTCTTCAATAAATTTAGCAGTTTTTTCTTCATCATCAAGGTCCTGCTTCTTCTTTTTCTCTAGTTCCAGTTGCCGGCGGATAGTTTCCGGGTCCCTGTCTATATACTGAATATACCAGCCTTTAGGTGTCTCATCCACTTTGCACAAGCCTTAAAAAAAAAACAGACATCATAAATTTGCACATAATCAACGCTGAAGGTAAACATAAATGTTCTATTTTTGCATTCTTTACACTTCATTCAAATATAGAAATTCATGCAGTACTTGAATTTTCCATATTTATAGTTAACAGGAATAGTCTCTGTCTTTGAACATAAAAATTACTATTCTGATTTTTAGCCACCTCTAGGTTGAGGAAACATATTTAAACAAGGAAAACACATGAAAGAAGTATTATCTTGCTTGGTAATTAATCAACTGTTTGTGTCTAACAACCAACGTGTACATATTTTGCTAATGTAACTAAGTAGAAATTATTCCCCTAAAATGGAATAAAATAGCACACTGAATAAGTAAAACATTGAATAAGTAGTACATTGACACAAAAATTTCCTTCTCTTTTCTTCTCCCCAATTTTTCATCCTATAAGATTAAAAATGAATAAAGCAATACATTTTTAAAATCTCCTTAAGAGGGGTAAGAAGTTTCTTAAAGTGAAATGAACATGGGGGCAAAAATGGAAGAGGATTGATAATCATCCTTAATCTAAATGAGAAGTTGCTGCCCTAACCGGTTTGGCTCAGTGGATAGAGCGTTGGCCTGCGGACTGAAGGGTCCCAGGTTCGATTCCGGTCAAGGGCATGTACCTTGGTTTTGGGCACATCCCTAGTGGGGGGTGTGCAGGAGGCAGCTGATCGATGTTTCTCTCTCATCGATGTTTCTAACTCTCTGTTCCTCTCCCTTCCTCTCTGTAAAAAAAAATCAGTAAAATATATTTTAAAAAATAAAATAAATGAGAAGTTGCTTCAGTGATAAACTTGGCACTGTCAAAAGAGCAATTCCAGACATTTATATTTAGTTGTACTACACAAAATCAACCCTGGAATATTATGCTCCTCTCCCCATTTTGTTTTTTAATCCTCACCCAAGGATATGTCTTTCATTGATTCTAGAGAAAGAGGAAAGGAGAGGAAAAGAGAGAGAGAAACATCGATGTGAGAGAGAAATATTAGTTGCCTCCATTACTTGCCCTGACCTGAATTGAACCCTCGACCTGGGATTGAACCCTGGAACTGGAATTGAACCCTCAACCCTTAATTGTATGGGATGATGCTCTAACCAACTGAACCACATCAGCTAGGACTCCACAGTTTTTTGTTTAGTTCTGTTTTAAATTTTTTTTTATGTTTTTATTGATTTGAGAGAGAGAGAGAGAGGAAGGGAGGAGAGAGAGAAACATCAACGTGAGAGAGAAACATCATATGCACCCTGACTGGGGATCGAACCTGCACTCTGGGAATGTGCCCTGACCGGGAATCGAACCCACGACCTTTCGGTGAATGGGATGAGATTCCAACCGAGCCACACCAGCCAGGGTCCACAGTTTTTAAATTACCTTACTCATCCTCTTTCTAATACATTTACACAGAAACTATGACACACTCTCTCTCTTCCTGAAATGGAGCCACATAACTGCTATTATTCAAATATGTCTCATTCTTACCTTCTCTGCCCAGCCACTTGGTAAAGTCAGTCAGAGTTTCCCACTGAGTGGCATTCATGTGGATGTGCTCTCGGTGGCTGATATACTCATTATAAACAATGTTGTTGTGAACTCTCTTAGTGCCTAAGAACAAAATGTGAAACTGTTGATCCTGAGCAGGTTATAGACCAGAAAGTTTTCTGTGCACAACTCATAAAATGCTTACCAAAGCGTCTCCTGAGAAGTTCTAGAAAGTCATTTCGGAATTCCCTAATTAAGAAAGAAAGGAAAGCATTAAGGTAATTTCTATAAATATATAACATTATCTTCCTGAAATTTAAGCCATTGTACAGTTTGATTCTCAAATGATGTATGAAACATTTGATGAATATTTGTTATGAATCTTTCAAAACTGAACAAGGAACGAATCCCCAAAGATTACAGCTTACAAGAATTAGAGTTAAAAGTCAGTTCAGAGTTAAAACTTTTTGTGTTGGCAAAACAGTTGTAGCAAAAGTGACTACACATTTTTGGGGAGGGTCCTTCATGAAGTCTCTTAGCACTATTGACTGTGGCATAACAACCCTTTCCTATTGATGATAGCAAAACTGCCCTTATTTCACAAGAAACTGGCTCTCAGTGTGTCCCTCTGCACTGAGCTCACTGTGTTAAGTGCTAGATAAACATAGGTGAATAAAACATGAATCTTCACCTAGATTGTAATCTAGCAGACCCAATCATAACAAAAGTCAAATTGAAAAAGAGATGTAAAAAAAATGTCATAGGAAGAATTAAGGGAGATACCCAGAGGTGCCTAGAGGTGATTTGTAATATGGGTGGTGAAGTGTAAATAGGATTTTTATAGGTGAAGAAGAGAAGGCCATGCCCAGCTGGCACAGAGACATGAAAGATGAAAGATTCACATGTTTGAGAAATGACGATCGAATTCGGCTAACATTGAAGACAGATAAAAATGAGTGTGAGAGGGTAGAATAGAATAACAAGGAGAAGATGTACCTAGTAACTGGACTATGATGTTAGGGCTAATTTTTGAAGTACCTTGATGGTCATGCTAAAGAGGTTGGGTTTATGCAGACAATAGAAAAGCATGAAATAATTTACTTAACTAATTTGTGACAATCTGTGGTTTCGAAAGATAATGCTGTTGGAGTGCACACAATAATAGTTCCCACAGTGTGGTCCCTAGACCAACAGCATCAACGTCACCTGGGCACCTGGGCACATTATAGAAATGCAATGTCTACAGCCCCATCCCAGATCTACTGAGTCGGAAAGTGGGTGTGGGTCTGCCATTCTGTCTTCACAAGCCCTCAAGGTGATTCTGATCAGGCACTGGCTTGTGAACCACAGGCAGAGAACAGGTACTAGTGCAAGAGGAACAGAAGCTGCAGGTTGGGAAACCAGTGAGGAAGTCACTGAAATCTTTTAGGTGGAGACACTGAGGATGATTACTGTGACTGTGAGAATAGAAAGACATAGGTTTAAAGGACATTGTAGGGGAGAATCCACATGAAGGTATTTCCAGAGGATGCTGAGGTTTGCAGCTTGGCAGTCTGCATAGGCCGTTTTTAGCCAGCAAAGGATAACCAGGTGTGGTGGGGAGAATCCTATGTTCAGCTTTAGAAATGTTGACTCTGAGATGGCCCTCAGAAATATAGATTAGAATTGCCCAGAAAAAAAAAAACAAAGGAACTATAACTCAAGACAGATGTTATGAATGAATATCCAGACTTAAGGAATTTATGTTTATCCAATCATAAAAGTAACAGAAGAGTAATGTAACTCATGGAGACTGTAGAGTGGGGTGAAAAGAAACCAAGCGGGACCTGAAGGACTTTCTACATTTGAGGAGCTGGGAGAGGAAGAGGAGCTAATGAAGAAAGTGAGCAGAGGGAGTGGTAGGAGGAAAACCAGGGAAGAAGGTAAATCAAAGAGGTGTTTCAATTGAGAGTTAAGATTTAATCCACTGAAGAAAGATCAAGGAAAAGGAAGATGGAAAAAGGCACGAGTGACTCTTTAGGAGTCTGACAGAGGCGGAAGGCAGCTACAGTGGATGGAGGGAATGGGAAGGAGGTGGCAAGGAAAGCACTGAGTGTAGATGGCTCTTGCCAGAATGGTATTTCCCGAAGTGCACCACAAGTACCCTGGTGGCATTCAAGATGGTACTAAGATCAAAAGGTCTAGAACTTTAGAAAAAAAGAGATGGAGAGAAGAAAGACTAAATATTATTAATAATTAATAGCTAATATTATTGAGTACTGGTACTCTTCTAAATAGTTTATAAATATTACTCATATAGCCTCATATAAACCCTATGAAGAAGAGACAATACCTGGAAGAGGGTACTATTTTTAGTCCCATTTTAGAGATAAGATTAAAGCCCAGAAAAACTTAAGTAATTCACCCAGTCACATAGCTCATGAGTGGATTTAAAGGACTTAAAGTCAGGCAATCTGACTCCAGAGCTGTGCTCTTAGCCACACTTGTTTTAAAAGAAAAGATAGTTTTGTTTGTTCGAAGTGAAAAGAAGGAAAAACTGAATAGTGAGGAACATTTTTTTAAAATAATTTCATACTATGACAAATTGTACAAGGAAGACAGAAACTGAGTACAAATATATATATAGCTATCATGTTAATATGTAAGGATAAACAGAGCCTCCCGTACATAAAATATTAAGCATCTATTAAATGTCCAACTGAATGAGGCTTATGAGATAAGAATGTCTTTGAGTTACTTACTCTGAAAAATAATCCATAAACTGCTGAGGATTTTCTGAAGCCAGCAATAGTTGTCTCTGATGAGATTCGGACATACAATGACACTTAAAGCCATTCTACAAAAATGTAAAGGGAGTAATTAAATTCTGATTTAGGTCATCATAATGGGGCCTAAGTAGAAGTATTTAATTAAACTCTAAAAAGTTGCTCTTTGATGATAAACTGTAAAAAGTAATAAAATTACTAGCCAAATTACCAAGCTGAGTTTTGCAACCCTGCTAATCAAAGAATAATTCCAAATATTAGAGACAAAAAAAACAGTGCTTTAGAAAACATTAGTAAGAAACACTTCTACGTACAGTAACATAGGAATGATTTCATTTTTTGTGTGTGTCAATTTAACAAATTACTGTTGAGTACCTATTGCACACAGAGTGTTATACAAGTGCTTTGAGGAATACAATGAAATAAAATGGGTCATTAATTTCCAGTAAGGACACTATTTTCCACTCTCTTTTCTGTACTTTGGCTATTACCCAAAATACATTGTTGCATATTACATAAACCTTATGTTAAGCATACTAATCTATATCTGCTCAGATGGTTATAAAAACACTAGCGGCCCAGTGCATGGATTCGTGCACATTGAATTAGAAGGTGGCCAGCGGGACTGGGCCAGACAAGCCGGACACCCCCTGGAGCCAACCTCCCATGGTCCCACCCCTGCTGGCTGCACCTGGGGCAGCGCCGGGGCTTGTAGGGCATCTGCAGTGTGAGTGGGGTCTCTCTGGCAGGTGGGGTCCCTCGGCCTGGCCTGCGGGGATCAAGCCGAAACTGGCAGTCCGACATCCCCAAGGGGTCCCAGAGTGCGAGAGGGCATTCTACAAAGTTGCTATCACTTGGCAGCTTCTGTGTTGAGAGTCTGCCCCCTAGTGGTCAGTATGTGTCATAACTACCGGTCGGATGGTTGGACGGTCACTTAGGCTTTTACATATATAGATACATTTTGACTTTGTATCTTTCTACTTAGCATTTGAACCTGATTCTTCACTAGTAATAGAAATGAAAAATGTGCCTCTCCTCCTGTAACCCCCACCTCAGTGAATAGGACGTATCACACCCAAGTCAAGACCAAGGCCAGCATTCTAGTGTCCTTCTCTTTCATCCTACATTCCATAAATCACTGAGCCCAGTCAGCTTTCTTAATAACTCTTATCCAGTCCCTCTGCTCAATCCCATTGCCATTGTCCTGATTTCAACACTAAATCTTGATTAGGGTAGTTTCAAGAAAACCCAAGGGAGTGGATGGGCAGGAATGGAATACTCTGGACCTGACCTTTCTCCCCCTCAATCTTCCAATACTGAAAGACAGAAGACAGAGGCGGAAACTTATTAGGGTCAACTTCTCCTCCCCCAGGCTGTCCTCCCAGGTAGGGAAGGGAAATAAACAGATCTGGGGGCAAACAGGCCAGAACCACCACAAATGCCTTAAGAAAGTATTAAGCATTTACTTTCCTTTTCCCATTGGAACTATATTTTAGGATAACATTTGAAGATAACTGAATGGCCCTGGCTGATGAGAAAGACTCATTTTTACAAATGAGTAGCAGCCAATAACAAATGTAGAAAGAATTAGACAAATAACCACTCTGCAACTCCTAATGAAATAACTGACTCAGGCAAAGATGCTAAAACACACAGGTGAAAGGAAAAATAGATATACGGTCATGATTCCAAAGTATCATCCTACTAGTTACATGCTCCTGCAAGAGGGAAAATATTACTTTCTAACATTACTTTACAGGCTGTCATCTTTACATAATCATCTTAGGGCTTCCTTATGTGATGCAATATGAAATACTCTGAATCACCTATCAAGTATTTGTCCCAAAATGTTTCAGCTGAACCTAATCAAGTCTTTAGATATCAACAATTACAAGAGTCAGAGAAAGAAGGCAAAGACAATTAAAGGAAACAATTTAACATATCCAGAAAGTGTCAATGTTCTGATAACTGACTGACCTAGTATCTTCAAATCAATGGTAAGAAAAAAAGTAGGAGAGTGGAAGGAAAGGGTGGAGGAAGTGTGTTCTACTGTAATTTGAGAATTTAGGGAGAATTAAAAGTTCTAATAACCTGGAGCACAGAGATTTTTAGGGAAGTGAAAGCACTCAGTGCGATATCACACTGGTGGATACGTATCATTAGACATTTGTCCAAACCCATAGGATGTCCAATACCAAGAGTGAACACTAATGTAAACTATGGATTTTGGTGATAATGACATGTCAATGTAAAATGGCTTGAAAAATAAAGTGTATTTTTTGTAAGCCCTAATAACCAAATCCAATTCATAGCTTTTGATTGGATCTTGTTGTTTTTTAAATTGCTTTAAAAGCAACAGGGGAACAACTGAGAAAATGTGAGTTTGTAGTGTGTATTAGATGACATGAAAGAATTTCTATTAATTTTGTTATGTGTGATGACATATATTGTGGCTCTGTGGAAAAATATCCTGATATTTTAGAAATGCATTTTAAGTATTTAGAGGTGAAATATCCTGAAGTTTGTACATTACTATAAAACATTTCAGAAAAAAGTAAATATGACAAAATACTTAAAATGTTAAATCTGAGTAATGGATATATGGATGTTCAACTAGTCTCTAGTTTTCTGTGTGAGAATTTCACCTTGATTCAATTAGAAAGAACTAAAGAGAAATGAAAAGAAACAACAATATCAATGTTATTCAACATGAGTCCCACTAAAATATCTCATCCCTCACACAGAATTGCCTAGCGTTCTCCCATCCTTACCCAATTAAATCTCCAGAGAAAAATATGATCACATCACTAGCCTATTCTCAGTTCTTCAAGGCGATTCATTCATCACCCATCTCATGGGAAAAAGTGTAAACTCCATTGCACAGCACACAAAGCTTTTCAAGATCTGACCAAAGACGACCCCCCGCCCCCAGAGTCATTTTAAACATACTTCACTCATTTAAAATACACAACAATCTTACAAGTAGGTATAGTTATCGTTCCCATTTTACAGATAAGTAAACAGGCAGAGAGAATGTAAGTTACTTGCCCAAGGCCACACAGCAATTAAGTGGTGCGGCAAGGCTTCATAATTCTGACAGTCTGACCCCGGTCCACATCTCAACCACAATAATCTCCCGGCCCGAGCACATGGTAGCTGCTTAATAAATTATTGTTGGATGAGTAGTGTGCAAGAACTTATTTCTTCTTTTTCATCTGATCCTGAAAAGAGGAGTGAATCCTAACAATTCTGTTTCTCTTAGCAGGGAAAGGTCCCTACTGTGTTGACTAGCTGACTCGCCCAGTACAGACCCCAGGACGAGGGACCTGAGATCCACGCCTTCACCTTCAGCATCGGGGGCTTGAGCCCAGGTTTCCAGCTGGACAAGGGAGAGGACGGGGCATGGGGCCCTCCCGGGGCCGCTTACCTCGTCCCGGCACTGCTTCTGGCACATCTGGCAATACCAGCGCAGCTTCTGAAGACCCTTGGATTTGATCCTGTTGGCAATGGCCTTCGGGGTAAGAAAATCTGACTTCCCCATCGCGACCACCGCAGCAACCTCTCTCCGGAACCCAGCGCCCAGACAACCGGAAGCGGAATCGAGCCGATAGGAGTGGGCGGGACAAATACCAGCTCCGAGCCGGAGGAAGGCGGGGCCTCGGAAGGCTGGGCCCTAAAGCTCGCGAGGTTTACCTCGGTTTGGCGTCAGGAAGCGAGACTGGAGCAGGAAGTGGGGCGGGAGGGGCCTTGGGGAAGCTCCTGCACATGCGCGGGGAGGCCCGTCTGACCGACCTTCACCAGGGCCAGTACCACCATGTTTTCTCGGGCGGGCGTCGTGGGGGTCTCGGCCTGGGCCGTGCAGCCGCAATGGTATGGCAGCTTGCGGTAGGAACGGGAGGGTTGCAAGGGTTGGAAGGACTCGATAAGGGGGAAGCGGGTGGAGGCGTGTGGGACGGAACAGGGGTCGCAGCCCGGCCGGGCCCCCGGTCCCTGGAGGCCCCGGTCCCCGGAGGCCCCGGGTGGCCCGGGGTGCAGGAAGCGCCTCGAATCCGGGAAGGGCACGTGAAGAGGCCGGAGGGACCGCGCAAGGTTACGCCACGTCTCCTGAGGCGGAGCGGGGCGGGGGGAGGGCCGCGAGGAGTTGTCATCTGGGACCTGGGGACTGAGACCTTGGGCCGAGTTAATTTCAGGGCGGTCTTGTATTCATTCCGCTAACACAAATACTTGCGCTCGGAGCTCCTGCTCTGTGCCAGGCCATGAGTATCGTGCAGGTTTGACCTGGGCCCACATAGTGAGGGGGAAGGGAGGATCCAAGGCAAGGTCTAGGGAAGGTTAAGTTGTGCTTTCTGTCCTTGACGCCTTTTGAAACTTCCCGGGGTTGGACAGAGTTTGCATGGCCGGTGTAGAGCGGAGTGACCCTTTAATAAGAGCTGCTCAATTCAGCCAGAACGTTTATTGAGCACCGACCTTGCAGCGGGCGCTTTGCTGCGCACCAGGGAATCAAATGAGTGCCCTGCGTGGGCCGGGGGTAGTTTGGGTGCAAAGGGGACCTTAAAAACCTGTCTGTGGGCGAGGAAGAGAAAGACACCTTACGGTATCTCAAAACCATTATGCTGAAGCAGTAACCCTGCAAGGTCATGAAATTGTCCCAAGGTCCTGAGAGGAGGAGGAGTTTGGATTAAGTAACTGTCTTGCAATTTTTAAGGATTTTAAACATTGGTTTCCAAAGACAATTGCGTAGTAAAAGGCCTAGGGATAGGCACATAAACGTTGGCTTGTGGTGGGACCATATAATAGGATGAAATATCTATGTTAGAGTCGGAAAATTTCAGGCACAGTGCTAAGGAGATCTTAGTTATTGTCTGTGAAGCAATTCCCTGGGTTTACAGTAAGGGAGAATTCTAAGGAGCTATAGCACTAAACTAGATTTTGGTATCCTTGTTTATGTGTAGGGACTATAAAGCATTAATTGAAATAGGTATGTTTTCCACTAAGAAACGAATTTATAACAATAGGGTAAGGAAGTAATTTAATATGCTGTGAAATGCCTACAGGGGAGCAATGGGCAGTGGCAGCTCATCCCAGGCTAATCCCCTGAATCTGTCTCCAAAGCACCCCTTTTCTCTGACTTCCCAGTGAGCTAAAGCAGCCCAGCCTAGACTCTCCTGTTGCTTCTTCTATGCCCTTTCTTGTTTCATTGTCCTAAATATGTTTTTGCTGTGGCCAATGAATTCTTCCTTGCTTTTCCACAAAAAAATAAATAAATAAATAAATAAAACTGTAGAAATAACTAAAAAACCTCAAAAACCTATAAGACAATTTGAAGATCTTTTAATAAAGAATTATTTTAAGTGAAAGCTCTCTCAGTTTGAGACAACTAATTCTGGGGACCTAAATTGGAACCTCAATCATCAAATAAAGGTCATAGTCCTGACCTTAATCCCCTTGGAATGATGGTTTTAAATTGGTAGGTTATGAATATTCATCTAACATTGGTGTTCCACGTGGAAAGCATATTTTACCCTCTTCACATTTTCCATCATTCTGGGGGCCTGATGTCTTTCCTACCTATTCTGCCCTTTTCTTTCCCATTCATTATAATTGCCTTGTAAATTCAGAAATGAAAACCATCTTAATGTTTCACACTCCACAGAAGTAATTTGAGGGGCAGAAAAATACCTTTGCTTGAACCATGAAGGGGCATTTCCTTGGTTCTGTTTTGGTTATTGAAAATTTTTAAATGTGGATTTGTTACAGTTTTTGCTTCAGGGAAGTTTGCATTCTAACATTAAACATGAGGCTTAATTAAAATCATGATGAAATTATTTTAATTGTTTAGGGAATCAGCAAGTACCCTAAACTTTCAGAAATTAACTTTTTTTTTAAAGTAGCATTTACGAAAATGGACATAAGAAATTTGAGGAAGAGTCTCCACTTTTTCCATCTCAAATTAGGGGAAAATACATCTCTATTTCCTACCTAGTGTTCCACATTCTCTAAAATGGAACTATTTTATAACTAGAGGCCTGATGTGGGGGCCGGCCGGGGTTTGGCCGGCTGCCCCCCCCAATTGGGGTGGGGCGGCTGGTTGGGGGCAGGCCCGGTTGGGGGGAGGGGCCAGTCTGGGCTCCGATCAGGCCAGTTGGCCTCCCCAGTGCAGGTCATAGTGACTGGCTGTTCTGGTCTTTCTGCCGTTCCGGTCACTTGGCTTTTATATCTATAACTAGAGGCACAATGCACGAAATGCGTGCAAGGAGCTCGGTCCCACCTTGCCTCGGCCCTGGCAGCCCCAGCTTTATTATTATAGATAATAAAAGTGTAATATGCTAATTAGACCAGACAGCCGAACGACCTTCCGGGCAAAGCTGGGGCTGTGAGGGCCGAGTCCCTTGCACGAATTTTGTACATCGGCCTCTAGTTTATAGATAGGAGACCAATGGCCATAAATTGAACTAATACATTGAAAAGGAAAAGACATGGTATTTCAGGAAAGAAAAGGAAGATTGTCATCTTAAACTAAAAAAGCAGATATTTACTTGTAAATGTAAAAAATGTGAGGCAGCAGAGTGTAATATAAGATGGACTGGAGCCAGACTGCTGGGGTTTGAATCCTGACTGCCACTCCCCTGGCTGTGTGACCTTGGACAAGTTTCTCTGTTTCTCTACCATTTTCGTAACTGTTAAATGGAGGTAATGATACTACACAATTAATGGGTTAGTGCAGGGGTCCTCAAACTACGGCCCGCAGGCCACATGCAAATACAAATATTGTATTTGTTCCCGTTTTGTTTTTTTTACTTCAAAATAAGATATGTGCAGTGTGCATAGGAATTTGTTCATAGTTTTTTTTTTAAACTATAGTCCGGCCCTCCAACGGTCTGAGGGACAGTGAACTGGCCCCCTGTTTAAAAAGTTTAAGGACCCCTGGGTTAGTGTGAGAATTTGTAAAGAGCTGAGAGCAGTGGGAGACATGCTGGTGTGGACTCAGATGTATCAATTGAAAACGAGTTTATAACTAGTTTCTATGTAAAATATAATGTAAGAAGGTTTATTGTACTTGTCAAAGAAGACTTGATCATGCGCCACAGTTGGTAAAGAAGTGCGAGGGAGTCATTTTTTGTTCAAGGGGCAAGTGGACTTTCACACAGACATTCAATATTAGAATTACACATACTTAATAATTTTCCTTAATAATTAGTGTAGGGGGTGGGAGGTGAAAGGGGACCTAGTATATAGTGATGGGAGAAGATTTAACTTTGGGTGGTTAGGCACACAGTGCAATATACAAATCTTGTAACATGGAAACCCACACCTGCAACCTGTATTATCATGTTAACCAGTGTCACCCCCACTAAATTTAATTTTAAAAAGGAAAAAAAAAAGAATTATGAATGCTGCTTCCTTAATTTTTATATTACACAGCATTTATAAGCTCCTTAAAATTCTTTGATAAATCATTCATCTAGCGACCTCTCTAACTCCCTCCACACTGCCTTCTTCAGCTTTCCTAACAATACTGTATAATCATAGTAAATAATGGTAATCCACAATATGTGTAATTTTTCCATCCACTGTATTTGATAATGTTTCTAGTTTTCCAAATAATCTAAATGTTTCTCAGGACATGATGCAGTTCTCTAGAACATACAACTGATTCAGAACTTTATCTTTTCATTTGCATATATTGATTATTCAGTAGATAGAGCAAGATATCCTTAAAGAGAGTTCAGATCAACTCATGGTTATTCTGTACTCCAATTGTATTTAAAAAATAAAGTTGTAGCATAGATTGACATCTTTAGAACTAAATGAAGGCTAAGCATGAGAGTTCTTCAAAACAGGGAATTAGACCATGAGCACAGCATGAAGAATCACAAAAGATCTTACCTCTTCATACCTCATTTGGGATAGTATGGAAACCCAAAGAACTCTTTAAAACTCAATAACTCTTTGAGTTTTAAAGAGTTCTGTGTTCATACAAATATGGCATGCAATTCACATTTGTTTCATATCATATTCTCTGATTAGAAACTTGTGTCAATCAAGTTGGAGTGTCTGCCTAAAACTATAATGTCCAAATGTCACTCCTTATCCTATATAATAAAAGCCTAATATGGTAAGTGTCCAACATACCTTGTATGTTTTAGCTAAAAACTCAGTCAGACACAGCACCTAGATTTTCTCCTGTGGTATCTTGTAGAAGTTGTTTTGTTGTTGTTAATTTTCACTGGAGGATATTTTTCCATTAATCTTTGGAGAGGGGGAGAGACAGAAACATCAATGTGAGAGAGACACATCGATTGGTTGCCTCCTGCACACCCCCAAACCAGCTGGGGATCGAGCCTGCAACCAAGGTACATGCCCTTGACTGAAATCGAACCCGGGACCCTTCAGTCCACCAGCCAGTGCTCTATCACTAAGCCAAATTGGTAGGGCACCAACACCATTTGTAGAAAAGGGTATCCTTTCTCCATATAATGACTTTTGCTCCTTTGTCAAACTTAAGTTAATGTACTTGTGTGAGTCTGTGGGCTCTGTATTCTGTTCCATTGATCTACTTGTCCATTCCTTCACCAATGCCACACTGTCTTGTTTTCTG